CGGGGGGAGCCCGGGAGGGCGCGGGCGGCGCGGATGGCGCGGCCTGAGCGCGCCCGGTGTCGCCGCAGGGCATCGACATCCGGCACGACAAGGACCGCAAGGTGCGGCGGAAGGAGCCCAAGAGCCAGGACATCTACCTGCGCCTGCTGGTCAAGGTGGGCCCCGCTTCCCTCCGCTTCCCCCCGCTTCTCTCCGCTCTTTCCCGTGCCCGGCCCCGGTTCCCTTCCGTTCCCCCGAGCCCTCCCGGTTTCCATCGCTTCTCCCCGGTTTTTCCCCATTTCCTCCGGTTTTCCCCAATATTCCCTGCTTTATCCCGGTCTCCCCCGGTCTTTCCCGGGTTTCCCCAATTTTCCCCAATTTTCCCTGCTTTATCCCGGTCTCCCCCGCTTTTTCCCGGGTTTCCCCTGTTTTCCCCAATTTTCCCCAATTTTCCCTGCTTTATCCCGGTCTCCCCCGGTTTTCCCCGGTTTTCCCCAATTTTCCCTGCTTTATCCTGGTCTCCCCCGGTTTTTCCCTATTTCCCCCGGTTTTCCCTGGTTTTCCTGAACTCTTTCCGTTTTCCTCAGTTTTTCCTGGTTTTTCCCCGACTTTCCCAGATTTTTTTCTATTTCCCTCGGTTTTTCCCGGTTTCTCCCAATTTTCCCTGATTTCCGTCTGATTTTCCCAGTCTCCCTCGATTTTTCCCGATTTTCCGCGTGTTTTCCCTATTTTTCCCGATTTCCCCCGGTTTTCCCGAATCTTTCCTGTTCTCCTCAATTTCTCTTGGTTTTTTCCCCGTTTTCTGCCCGTTTTTCCCGATTTCACGCGGATTTGCCCCATTCCAGCTGTACCGCTTCCTGGCCCGCCGCACCAACGCCCCGTTCAACCGCGTGGTGCTCAAGCGCCTCTTCATGAGCCGCTCCAACCGGCCCCCGCTGGCGCTGTCCCGCCTGGTGAGCCCCAAAATCCCCCGAATTTACCCCAAAATATCCCCTAAAAACATTAAAATATCCCCCGGCCCCCGCTGGCGCTGTCCCGCCTGGTGAGCCCCAAAATCCCCCGAATTTACCCCAAAATATCCCCTAAAAACACCCAAATATCCCCCGGCCCCCGCTGGCGCTGTCCCGCCTGGTGAGCCCCAAAAACCCCCGAATTTACCCCAAAATATCCCCTAAAAACACCCAAATATCCCCCGGCCCCCGCTGGCGCTGTCCCGCCTGGTGAGCCCCAAAAAACCCC